ATATTTAGATAAAACACGTTTAGCGCATGTGTCGCTAAAATCCAACATTTTCATTTATTAACGACAATCAACTTAGTCCAAGTCAGCTGTCCTGTAATCCCGCTGATGAATTTAATCTCCTCTGTTAGAGAGCGATCGATCACTCTCGTCAATGATACGCTCCTCGGAAAACCCATAATCCACAGGCATGGCAGGAACCGACCATGTTATGTTACAGCGATCAATGACCTTGTTATCGAATACTTACAATGAAGCTCATTAGTCAAAGAGCGGTCGATGCGTGAGCCACTTATTCACTGCGTGTATCCTAATATTTCTCTTTTTTTTGGGGTGGTGGGGGGGAAATTACTAGTTGAGGTGTGTCAATGTTGGGTTTTTTTTTTTTCTGCGGCGATAAAGATAATTGGTCCGACTAAATATATATTTACTTACACAGTTTTTATCTACTAGATGCTATCTGTCGGGTGTTTTTGCAGCCGTTATCCGAAATGTAATCAGCGGAAATGTAGCGGAAATCGCGAAAAAAGAAAGAGAAATCGCATCACCTAATATTATTATCAACGAATTAATTATTTGAAAACTGTAACCGCCGCGCAGTTTCACATCTGCCGGGGAGGTGTCCATGTGAGAAATTCCTGTACAGATTATCACCCACTTGAGTCGACTAATTGCTTGCAGCTGAATGTTCTAATTGAGCCACAACAGTCCTAAGGCTATTTTCACAAAATCATTGTGCTCATGAATATAATATGCCAGCCAGATATAAAAAAAAAAAAAACAACTCGGAGTGCCAACAGGATCTATCAAACTCAGCGAAGCCTCAATCCAATTCTCCACACTTCAGGGCCACATCAATTTCGGATGTTTAAAAAGTGAACACAGTTTTTCCACACAAGTACTAATGCGATTCTTTTTTTTTTTTTTCCCCCCCACACACTTAAATTAGCCGACCAGAGTAATTACGACAACAAATATTTTTGGCTCTCCGATCCTTTTATCTGCGTACAGTAGGAAGTACTTTTCTTGCAGCCGATTGTTCCACACGAGGAACATGTCGGCGACCACAGGACGGAGTTTCGAGGAGCTCAGACCTCACAAACACCGCATGCCAAACAGGCTGGAAGGGAAAAAATACAAAAAAAATCACCACATTTCTGACTTGAGGATAATTATTTCTGGCAGCGGGGGCATTCTTTCATTACATTTGCTTCCTATTTTAGTCTATTCTTGTAAATAAATGGACAAAGAAGGAAAAAGAATCACTAATTAGTCCCATATGCAATCTTTGTCAAGCTGTCCTTGAATCTATTTTCATTTTTTTTTGCTTTTATGATACTCTCGTAATAATTATTAATTAATCTGCTCCGTCCTGATCTTCTTGGAAAGAACTTGCACGAGACAACAGAGGAGAAAAGAAATCCACGTATGGCACTTTTCGTACATTTTTTTTGCATCACTTGGGTATTTTTTTTTTCATTTCTTCCTGCAACTTCTTTTTTTTGAAGTCGTGCACCTGAGAGAGACCTTCTTTTATCGCACATTTCTCTCTCTCTCTGCCACAATAGCCCCGGCGCTGACATCGGAATGCTAAAAACGCGTTTAAAATAACATCTGAACCGCGGCCTCTGGCGCTCTCAGGATATGCATATGAGGAATGATCCCGGGGTCCACTACAGACGCCGGCGGGGAGCGTTTCCGAAGAGGGCTGTTTGGGATTTGTTGTCGGGCTCCTGCTGGGTGGGTATTTGTGCTTCAGTGGACTGTTTTTTTTGTCCGAGCCAGGCCGAGGCCCGGCGTAATACGCGGGGCCCACAAGCGGGGAAGCCGCAGCCTTTCAAGACAGACAATGTGAGTCAGCTATCTGACTTCATCAAATGGGACTTGACAATAAACCCCCCGAATACAAGGCCTCTACTGTTTTATTTCATTATTTTTTTTATTTCCCAAGGCGGCTCGCCAGAGTTGCTGACGGTCTCATACCGTCCAATATCTCTCTCAGTGGCGAGTCATATGTCATTCCATCCTGTGCACTTTGGCTCCGGTGGCATCCCTATGTGACAACTGGTCTCATGTATTAAGTCTCAGCGCTCCTGTGTTTGCATGTGCACGTCCGATGCACCTCTACCGGTTTGCCGCTACTTCTTTGGAAGTGATAGCTGCGCGGATCGTGGCTTTAAAATCAGCAGCAATAACTTGAAAAATATCCACCGACAACTCATCCATCGTGGCGGAAAAGTGACGATTCAAGAGAAACGCTTTTGCATTCAATGAAGAAAAAACTCGAACATGAATTAACTAATTACAGTTTTAATGCACATTCTTACTCGGTGACCTGCAGCATCTGTGCAATCGCACATCGCAGCCTCCCGATTAGCTCCCGCACAACATATCTCTTGTTCGGCGGATTTATCTGTTCGCCCTGTTGCACCGCGGCTAATAAGAAGCACTTTACATCCACTAATGTTATGTGTCTGTCAGTAATGTTATCTGATGTTACCGGTTCTGGGAAAGAAAGAAAGAAAGAAAAAAAAAAAAAGGATTTATGAAGTGAACTCATCTGCAAATTTCCTTTTACCGTTGTGACCTGAAACAGTCAGAGTTTGGCAGCGGCAGCATTAACTGGATTTACAGACGAGAGTCTGTCTGTTGGATCACTACAGAGCTGCAGGGTCACTGAGCCTTTTCCACTGACCTTGCACCAGACTAGAACATGTAACCGCGATCGTCGTGCATGAAGACACCAGCAGCTATCCACAGAAAACGCTCAGAAGATTTAAAAAAAATAGACCAAAGTGTCACCAACAACAACTAAATTGTCTTTAGTGTGACTAATAATTGCATTAAACTAATACAAAAATTTCATTAAAACACTAAAAATAAACCGAATCAACATCAGGAGCCAAAACGAACAGACCATCAGTGGGAGTTTAGGAGATAAGGAGCGTCTTTGAGTCGGTCCTGCCAACAGCCTGCCCTTAATCTTACAGACAGGAATTACCAAAAAGCCAATAGAGAAGATCAGTATGTTGAAGTTAAGGAAATGCCAGGAGTGGAAGAAGTAGGGAGAAGATTCCCTGAAGTAGAAGCAGCGCGCTAGAAAGACGTTAGAAAGTGTAGCTAAAAATCTCATTTAAAATTGATAATAGCTTTCTTTTTAATGGTATTATTTGTTAGGGGTCAACCTGACCAATTACATGAGTCAGCGTTTTTCAGGTTTTTCTTTTTTTCACGAGTCATGCCAAAATACATTCATTTAAAAAATACATGCAGCTATAGCTCTGATGTATCTCAGTATATAAAGATGCAAAAAAAAAACCTTCTGTGACGCCGTCTATAGCTCTTTTGTGGAGGCATCTCTGCAGTGCCTGAGTCCTTCTAGAAAAAATGAGGTGTGCCATGATTGGACCGTCCAACATGGTGCCCACGTCTCATTCAAAGTGACCACACCCTCACTTATGCATAAATATGAGCCTCAGTACAATTAAAACAGGTGAATTATACACAAAATCACCACGAGAGACCAAAACATTTCCTTCCATCAGGCTGCAAACACGTTTATTTCTGCTGTAAATTTGGACATTTTAACATTAAGCTCAATGGGGTTCGACTTTACAAAAACTGCCTCAAGTGGTCGTTTGAGGAACTGCAGTTTTTTGCACTTGTGAATCAGTTTTAGCTTTTTCAGTCTGCAATCTGATTGGTTACAAAACGGCGCAAAAGCACTGAAAGCTAAACGTTGCTAAGCTCTATTTAAGTTGAATTCACGCAAACAATAAACTAAATACATGACGTTTTATAAAAGTTTTGCCTTGGAGGTTGTGTTTTCTAAATCTGGACACCAACATTTGTAGTTCTACTGCCCGCTACTACCCCCATGTTTTATTTATCCTCTTTCTCTTCCCCGCTTTGTGTTGCAGACGCACAAAAAGACTCGCATTAACCCTCAAGCGACCGAGCTTTGTTAGCGAGCAAAACGACAGGGCGAGGCTATTTATGACCCCATTATCTTTTTTATTTTTTATAAAGGAATACTTTTTGGAACGGCTTCACTCTAAAATGCTCTAAATATTTGTGGTTTTACATTCTTTTAATGCAAAAACAAGTTTGAAATTTGTTTTTGAGGGGAATTAACTGCAGTAAATCTCAGTCTGTCAGCTATGATTCACTGCAGGACATGAAAGTGCAGCGACTAGAAGAGGAAAATTACAATAAAAATCAAAGTGGATGATGTTAACAAAATATATATTATATAAAGCGTCCTTGAGTGTCTTGTAAAGCATTGTATAACTATTATTACGCTCACAAGCGAACCCACTCAACTGTCCATTTTACTTCACACCAAGGAAAAAGGAAAAACTCTGAAAACTTGCAGGAGAACCAGACTAGAAAAAAAAACATGGCCAGAAACATTCATTTTCAATTCAATAAATCACAGTGGCACATACAAATATATACGGCCGGGGTCGTGAAAGCCTCCACTCAGTCACTTAAAGGTTAAACTGATTTCTCCGAGAGCAAGTAGGTCAAGCTCACTAATAATCCAGAACACACTGAACCCTGATGGATCCACGTCAGAATGCTGGACATGTGTTCAACGGCGGGGGTTTCTTTTTAGCTTATTTTAAATATTGAATTCTGGAGTTTTTTTTTTACTATATTCTTCTTTTAATCTGTTTGTCAGCGTTGTTTCACCTCCCAAGCTTCTAATTCTCTTCTGTCTCGGTGCAAACATTAACGTCTCGTGGGATATCGATGCTGACAGGCTGCCGTCGTGGCCCCTTTTTTTTTTCCACACATAGATTCACTTTTGCCATTTTTGATGGAGTAAATCAATCCGACAGCAGCTCTGCTATTCTCCTTGGTGGAAGACTTCACTCTCAGGGAGGATTTTTTTTTGTGAAACGGTCGACAGCGGTCCGGGGAGGAGACGACCATTACAGCGCCCTGTCAATTATTTTTTCTTTGCAGCTTCTACCTCACCGTGGCGTTTTTTTTTTTACCTTTGCGACATGATCTTGTAGGCGTCCGGAAGGTAGCAGTTGACGTTCTCCATCTGGAAAGGGTCGGCGTCGCAGATTTTGTCGTCCGTCCGGCCGTAGTTGGCACTTTCGATCATTATGACATCACTTCCCGGACACCGCAGATCGATGGGGTAGCCCTCGCAAGACAGCTCTCTCCGTACTAAGCCAAATGGCAGGGCGGCTCGGCTGAACCCTGAGGGAGAAGGGAAGCAGAAAGAGCTCTATCAGTGCAAATCGAAGGGAGATGTGTGGCGGCGCTGACACGGAGGACGACGCTCTGAAAGGCAGAAAAGAGCTGGAAAATACACAAAGGAGCCTTCTGCAATGCACGCTCTGTGTTATTTTATTCAAAAGGGCCCTAACTGTTGGGCAGTATGAATCATGAATCCATACAGGGGGGAGAGAACCCTGACATATATCAGTATATTGAGTGAACATTTCAGATCTCAAGCGCACCAGGGAGCTAATGGTGTTAGCATGTCATCCCCGTGCCTTAACCGGTCCCGAAAAAAAATCGATAATTGTCATTAAAGTCTAGTTTGTCGGCTTAAATGTCTGGAGCCTTGTGCCCCCCCTCCGGTGACCGCCGACGTCAGCACACTGACACAACACTGATAAGAGAAATTTAGCAGCTGCTAAACACAAGAAATCTGCTTTTTGTTGCTGTTTTTTTTTTCTTTTCTCTGTCACGCTGCTGTTTTATTTCAACGTGGGAACACACTGTCATCACACAGTCCATCGCTGGAGACTTGCGGTTTGCCTGCGACGCTCATTTTTCTATCCGAAATGAAAAAGAAACAACAAGCATGACAACATGAGTGTAATTTAATCCACTTTGCAGCACTGACAATCGAAGGGAGGCTGCAGAAAAAATGTGAATGTGTGTGTGTTGGGGAAGAGGAGGAGGAGGAGGAGGAAGATCAATATTGTGGCTCTGCAAATATGAACAATGCCAAAAGCCATACTTAAACTAAAAGTGAACTACATACACAAACCAAATCTGTTCTTCAGGTCAGAGTTTTCCACAACTTTGGGATGTCAGATTCTAAAGGGGAGTTTAAAAAGCTCTGCTCCGTGAACTCAAACCACTGGCGGCACCGAATACCAACGAGTGTCGCTGCACCCAGGGGCGACTTTCGTCACCTCTCGGAGGCCTCGGACAGCAGCTCAACTTATGGCGACGCAAAAAAGGTTCAGCTCACAGGAACCGATCCATACGTGCAGTCGCTTATAATGACTTTTGTTTTTTTCGCCTTTCGTTCTCGGCGTGGCAGCAGTTTACTTAAAGCCATCGGACTAAATTGGCAAAGAAAGGCTGAGTTCATTTTGCCCTATTGAACGCTTCATCAATTAACTACCAATACAATTATCTTTGTCTGATTAAATGCTAAGCTACAGTGGCAGGGGGATTAGCATTCCGCATTGTGCCGCCGCCTCGCCAGGAAATGCTGCTGTTTTACTTTACAAAGGGAGATAAATGTCAGTTTGTATTGCCTGATCCTCCGTTTGTGCGCCAATCAGGTGAAAATCCTTCTTCTGAGGTGCTCGGGGTAAACAAAAGGATCTGTGTGAGCGAAGAAGGTTCAGCCGGCCCGGCCCGGCTGACCTCTGTGGAGCTGTATTTGTTTGGTGGCATAAGGATCTTTTCTCTGCGAGTGCTTTACGACAGCAGACTTTCTCGTGTGACCGATAGACATTAAGGCTTTTCAGATACGATAGGTTCCAGCTGTATTTCATTTTCTTTCTTTTTTGTTGCCCCGTTTCTCTCTGGAGTCCAAAAAAGAAAAAGAGAGAAACGCTTAAGGTGATAAACAATTTATCAGAGATGTTGGCTTGAGAGGAAAAAATAAAAATAAAAAAAATGAAAACACAGCATGTTAGGAACAAGACTTGACAGCCAATCTGGAGTTCATGTCAAAGCACTCCGGCAGAGCTTCGCCAAAAGACCGAAATCCGGCGTTTAGTAGCTGCACGGAGGACGTAGAGCATCGCTCAGCGCCACGTTACCGGCGTCCTTCATACACAAATCATCAGCTGTGTAACGGAGACTTGTTCACTGCTTTCCTCTCGCCAGGTGTCTCGCCAAAACGTTCGTATTTTCCCGCATATGGTGCACCTGAGAAACGCGAAAAACTATTGAAGACACACGAGGAGAAGCACATGTCGTCCGTATCGCTGCAGCGTCGTGACTCACCGGCGCACAACTGTTCTCTGTCAAACGGTTAAATCTAATAATAAATGCTCACTGTCCATCATAGACGTCTGCACTGTTTAAAAAAAACTGTAATATCTGATCAGCTTGGGCTCCGAACGCTGCAGTTATATAATAGAACAGCAGGAACTCATGAAAACCTGATTTTTGTTTATAATAAAAACTGATTTTCCAGCCTTAATTTTATACAATGTTTTTTTTTTTTAGCTTTTTGAAATAAAACAAACAAACAAAACTACCTATAAATATAGTTGAATATTATAATGAGTTATTTAGTCAAATACTTTTGGAGAGAACTTGGAATCTTCTTTAGATTCAACTATTCATGGAGCGGCAACAGAATGTATGTAGGTACATGATTATATATGTGTATGTATAGATATGGGTATGTATGTATTTTGTATTATGAAGTCTTGTTATTTAATATTATTTTTTATTTGAAAAAAATAAATAAAAAATATTTATCCCAGAAGGGAAATTCAATTATATATTATAATACAACAATAAAATATATAATATAATAATAATAAAAATTTAGATATATATTGTTATTTTTCTTTTCTTTCTCTGTTTTTTTATATGTTCGAAATCTTGCCTGTACTACTGTGTATGAACAGCAAAAAGACAGTAAACTGGATTTAATTTGATTTAAAATAGTGAATGAATGAATGAATGAACGTATAAAAAAATCAATGAGGCGTAAAACTGCAGAAAGACGTCACTATTAGTTGGATTTTATCAGAATTTTCTGTTTAAAAAAATGTCAAAATCCAGTTGTAAAGCCAGTAATTCTGTTCCAGGAATCTCCTGTTAACTCAGATTCCAGTTTTTAAGTGTAATTTAAAAAAAATAAAATAAAATCATGTGTATTTGACAGATCTTTAATGATAAAGAAATAGGTCTACCTATAGAACTAAAGGATTTTCTATCGAATACAAAGCGTAAAGATATTTTCCATGTAGACATATTGTTAGAATTACAGTAGTAAACTGGTAATTCTACATATTAAGTGTGATGTCACGTTTATGTGCGTAATCTCACACATGAATGAAGTTTCTGTACACGTGCAAACACAAGAAATTAATATAATATAAATAATCAGGCTGCATCCTGAATAACAGTACCACAAAACATAATAGTTCAGTTTAGAACTGCCAGATTCTTCTGTTAATGTGATCTGATGTCATGTGTAATGTGATTTTTTTATTATTATTTTTTTTACATGTAGCTTCAGATAAAAATCTTTTCCCCCCATATAATTACTGGAACTACCTTTGAAAAAATTTAAAATCACAGCTATTAAACACGAATGACTCATAAAATATAAACAGGATTATTATTACTATAATAAACTTTTAGTTTTAGATCATGTCCAGCACATTTTTACAGCTAATTTTACATAAAAATCTTTTTTTTTCATGTTATGTTACATAACACATATAAATCAAGTCTACTTTTGTGATTGTATTTGTATTATTTTCTATGATATCAGCAGAATAAGAAGAAAAATCCAACATTTTTGCAGTGTATTTATTCCGTCCCTTCATGCACAAACGCCTGTTTTTCCTCTGATCTGCTGAGACCGGACCAGAGCCGAGCTTGTCTTACTATAAAGGTCACATTGACTGGGAGCGGATCAATCGGGTAGCAGTTACGTCCGTCTATAGGTGGGACGCATTAACTCGCGCTGGCCTGGAAGCGAGCTGCTTTCTGGCCGTTTGTCCGACCTCCCGGTTTGATCTGCAGATCCACGGCCGTGCCCGCTGACGCCGTGCGTCCCGGGAACTCTGCTAGAACACTTAAATCAGTCACCGCGGAGCCTTTTACAATCCCTGCCGCTGGTTTTATGATTTAGAGCCGGCTGATGCAGTCTCCCTGCTTAAATAGAAAAACAGAAGCCGGAGCAACGAGGAGATAAATGTAGGCTCGAGAATCCTGCAAGACTCCGTCCGAAGCACACGAGCAGCTTGTGCAGGCTGCGCGCTGATGACAGGCTCTGTAATAATGGTATATTTTCGTGTTCAAATTTCTGGATCTCCAACAAAATTGCCGTCCTCTCGGCGCACTTTATTCGCCGGCCGGGTTTGTGCAACACGGACCGAAAAAACCTTCAAAAGCCTCTCTACATTGATTAGGCCCGAGGCTGAACTACTTTCTCACCCTGGTGTCAGATGGTATTTTTGGTTCATGTGGAGATGAGTGACACGGACGAATCGATAAGGGAACACCCAGCAGTCCAGCAAAACACATCTCGACGCGATGGACGGCGTTCGTCAGCTAAATGTTAATTGTTATTACTCCATTTAGGCTCATTTATTGCACTTTTTATTTGGTTTAGGATGAACTTTCTTGACCAAATTTCCCAATGTGGTGGCGTGTCAAGCACAAATAAAAGGAAATATTGGTCATTATTGGCCACAAATCTAAATATTTACACCGATCCGAGGTTCACTTAAGTTCTTTTATGTCGTCCAAAGCAGCGTTTCTTCTTCTACAGCATTTACAGCGTTTCTTCTTCTACGTCTAATAAATGCTCTTCGTGGTGGCAAAAAGTCATGTTTCTAACTACAAAAATGACAAATTATTCGTCATTATTGGCCAAAAGAACTGCTCCGCTGACATCTGCTCGTTGCCTAAGTCCTTTCATATTGAACAACGCCGCGTCTCCACATTAAATAAATCCTCTTTGTCTGCTTTCACACGGATAATATGAAGAAACAAAAACACCATCGATCACGCGTCGCAATTACAACAGAATAATACGATCGCAGTGGATCTAACATAAACACATCCAATGCTTACTGTCTCACTTAACTAAATAATGTGATTATTCAAATGAGCCTGAAAAGTAATCATTATTTTGCTCATGGGGTCATTAGCATAATTATTCAGGGAATGCATGCTATGAAAATTATTTACTTTCCATATGGTGACAGTAAAACACGTCAAGAATAACAATACGTGGCGAGCGTTGAGATATT